ACCTGCATGAATTTGAATTTTGACATAACAACATTCTTTTGATCAAGGCTACCTCTGAGCATCAAAGTTATCATTTGTTTTTCTTCATGCGTGACTAGATGTTCATTATCGCCTCTGTTGTTGTCAATATTAGTATTCGTCTTCGTCATGGTGGGGATGATTTTGAGGATCAAATGCAAAATGATTATTTTCATTTTACACTAAGGGCCCATGCATTAATTATGTCATGCTAAATCGGGCAAAAAAATAACGCCCTCCCCCCTACCGTGACGTTTTTCCTATACCTAATGCATTGCTTGTCACAAAATCTTAGACCCCCCCTTACCTCTTAGGGCGTGACATAATATATGCATCAACCCTAAGATCGTAGAGGAACTCTAAGATCAGAAGGTCCCAAAGAAACGTGCTCAACTTTTTGGCTCAGCTCTGGTACTCTCTTCGGTCCCAAGCTAATCGATGCACCCCTCGAAACAAAGGAAAATCCACGAACCCCTCATTTTATTTGTCAAACTTTCATAGCGAATGAAAACAAACATAGTGTAGTGCTAGAATTCCGACTAGAATGGGATACGTTAATCGATTTGCTTGGGACCAATAGGCTAGTCAAGTAGTGAGCCGATTTAAAATCGTTAGTTTCCACCGGTTGGAACTAGGCCAGAAATTCGCGGTTGCATTTATGAAACCAAAAATTGGATTGTGTCAACGACAATGATTAAAACTTTGACACATGCGTAGGCGCAGATATATTACAGTGTTGCCAGTTACATAAGTTTAATAAGAGTGCCCAGGTGTGCCCAATTGTATTTTTGGCACACTGTGTGGAGTGACCACCCCCTTAACTTTTAGTCGTTATTCAATGCCTGTTGAATGTTGCGTGGATGGATGTTATTCAAAATATGGTCAGCATAAAGTGAGCTTTCATAATTTTCGTAAAGTTCAAACGGCGCGTGATAATATTCGAAGAGAACTATGCATTGAAGCCGTAGGAATGAAAGGAAGATACATTTCCAGTAGTGTAATATGGTCTGGTTCGAATCCGCTCTGACATACACTTTGTCTATAATTGAACGGGTTTCGGCAACCGTTTAAACCAGCACGTTCTTATTTCGCAGAAACGCATTGTCTCTGTGACGCTGAATGGTGCTTCCGGAAGCGATCTGGGTGCACCTCCCGATTTCTGTTGTGTAACCCTCAACCGAGAGCAGTCCGAGTGTGTTCGCTTCTGGCGGCCAATCAACTCGTCCAGCTTAGTTTTGAGCGTCACCAGCTGATTTTGAGTCGCCATTTGAGCTTCCCAAATCTGTCTCAACTCCCGAGCGATCTGGTGGTTCGAGCTTCTTTTGATAGTCCTGATATTCCTGGCTCAGCTTTACCTGATCCTGTGGCACTTCTTCCTTGGTCTGCTTGGGGACATGCAGCGACGTAGTAGGAAATTCAATAAATCATAGCTTCTACAACTGTGCCATACAAATGGTTAGCATCTAATGTCATAGATTATGGCGAGCGCAACAAGCCGCATAACCGATTTTCGTTAGAAAAAAAAAAACAATGTTATTGACAATTGACAATTGTTACAAGAATTTTATCCCCTTTCTTCCCCTAACTGAAGATATCAACAAAATGAGTTTATTCTTGGAGAAAGCTGGTGGTAACTTTTATATTAAAGGACTAAACGAGACATTTACTTGAACAAAAATATGCATTTTAATGAGTAGAAAAAAGTCCTTAAAATTGAAATAAAAGAGTTATTCTATAAGAGCAATTTATTTTAGGGATAGCCTAATCACAAAAAAAAAAAAAAAATCATAAGCTTTACTACGATCAAGGGGTAAGTCACTCAGCACATTGTACCGAAATTAGATTCGGCACACATTCGGCACAATCTCGATTGTTGTAAATAAAATGGGAGCACTGCCGGACAACTGTCATTGAAGTTATGCACAACATTACGTGCTGTTTGACTGACTGAGGAACTCAGACCAGCAGTTCACTTATAGATCTAAATACGAAATGTAGGTTCCCGAGTGAGCTCAAGATAAAGAGCAGTTAATTAGATCCCATTAATACCCTTAATACAAACAATGCTGCAACTCACACAAAACACACTACAGAAGTTTATTCATCATCATCTATAGTCGGTCTCCAACAATGTTCCCACCGGTTCCAACTCTTTCCGGCCGCTGATAGACCGTTGCTTTTCACATCACGAAAGGCTAGGTTTCTGGTCCTCCTTTGAGGGCATTATAAAACCCTTAAACACAAGACTTTTATTATCCTATGAACAAAAAAAAAAAAATCGCGCACCCGCGTAATCCTCAATCCGATTTATCCTTGCGATTTCAAACCAAAACATTCAAGGTGCTAGAAATACCGGGTTGCTTCCTGGGCAGGAATTTTATACCTCGGTTGACCAGAAGAATGTAAAATCAAAATGAAGTCGAAATTCCCCAATAAGTCCCTTGTCTGTCAAGCATTCTGCAGTTGTGGGCTGACAAGCGAAGCTTTCGTCACTTCTGATCATGAACCAGCAAATTTACTAGGAGGAGTGCCTACGGAAGAGACTACCCAACTAACATTTTCAGCTTTGTAAGCCAACTTTTCCAGCGTTGTGCTGTAAAGTAGCTGAAAAGAAGCTGCAGATTCAGCTACAAGCAAAAGCTAGCAAAGTAGTTTTGGAGAGTGTTTACTCAACTTTCTAACAACCATTATTCAGTTTGTCAGTCGCACTGAATAACAACAGCCAAAAAACGCGAGTGTCTCTTTTATACACATACTAATCAAGTTTCAACTTGTTACTGCAAAACAAAGCTAATAAAGTGAATATATTACTCATTTGGTGGCTTCTACACAACCAACCACTCTTGCTGAATAACATAAACATCAAAAGTGCTTTTTCAACAACTAAACATCCTGTACTCAGCTAATAAACTGTGTTAGAGCAACTTCGGAAGCATTTTCACAGTCAACTAGGTTTATTTTTAGACGTGTGCAGTTTTACAGCTTTTACTCTGCTCTCTTATAACTAGTCGAGAAAAGTGATTCATGTGTACTATTATAAAGCCTCTACTCAGCGATTTTGTTGTAGAAGTGAATGTTGATTTGTTTACATAAGTTCAAAGTGTTGGCGTAGCACAGTTGGTAGTGTCAAGGTTTGCCAATGAGGTAGTCTCGAGTTCGATTCCAGGTTCCGGTGCAGGGTAAATAATTTGGTGATGATTTGTAACTAATTTCGATTAATTTGATTCACAGCAAAATAAACTCAATAAATTCCTTCATAAAAAGCGTAAACAGTATTTAACCCGGCTTCAAGAGAAAGCTGTGTAGTGATTATTGGATAACCGGGAAAAGGTTGAATAAGCGCCTTTCAAGTTCACACACAACTTAACAGCAGGATAACAGCTGTATAGAAGCGTTAATGGATATGCAATAAGAGCTTCTCCCGACCGTTCCAACAGCCATAAGTAGCTGATTAAGTTCGCCAGATTTGCTTGTATAGAGGTTGAGTAAAGGTTTCCTCATATCGTATAACGTTTGAATACAGCTTGAGGCTGTATAAATGAAATGAGTAAAGCGTTTACATTGTGAAAATTGTTAGTTGGGTTGGCAGGCTGCCACTACTTAAATTCCAACAAACAGTGATACTGCGAAAATGGCGTCACAGTGGTTCCCAAGGAGATGAATCCGGCCAATACTCCGGAACTAAGGCCAATTGAGGAATACTGGTCAATTGTGAAGCCACCCACTTAAAATCCGTTTGCTTTGCGTTGACGTAAATTTGACAGCTAGACAATAGACTTAGCTGACACTTTGCCACAATGCGTCCGATTCGGATCTAATGTAGGTGGACTTTAAGGGTTGGTTCTTCACGCACAGAGTGACAGTTCCTTGTGGGATTTTTCAAAGGTGGTATCAACTGACAAATATGGTTCTATCAGTGAAACAGATTAATTCCAATAGATCGTCGAGTTGGAGTGCTTGAGCCTGATGAATGGATATATCCGGGCTTACATAACAAAGGGTTAATGTCCCTAATATCGGCCTAAGTGTCCCTACCATTCCCAAGCAAAACACATGTTCTATAACAGTTGTTATAACCTTTGTATTGCTGGTTGTGGTTGCATAGCAGTATACTCAACATAATTCTATGAATTTGTATTACTTTGGATGTAGCCATACATAAATTTCGAATGAAGGTAGTTTTTAACAATTTGTCCCTAGCAACCAAAAATTTCAAATTTCTATTGTCCAGATGACGTATTAGTACAAGAAAAATTAAAGAACACTAGATTTTTATCGATGGGCCCAGTCGTTAGATCTCTTGGACTTGGATGGATTTTGCATCATGATATTTTACACCTGAAAACTTAGTTGTAGGCTTATTTGCCAATTGTTTACTGTACAGCATTTATCGATGATCATAAATCATGGTGACATACTAATCAGAGATCAATTGTTGAATGAAAGAACATGTGTATTTAATACTCAGTATTAGAAGTATTGTGATAGCACATATAAAGCCGGCGCCGGTGGTGTAGTGGTAAGCGTGACTGCTTTCTAACACCCCGATGGGTCTGGGTTCAATCCCAGCCGAGGTCGGTGGGATTTTTCTGAGGCATAAAAATCTCTGGTCACGTCTTCCTTCGGAAGGGAAGTAAAGCCGTTGGTCCCGGCCCATGTGTGTTGAATGGGTGCGATATCCTACGCAGGTGTGGAAGCTGCCTTCCTGCACATTCGATTGCCATCAATGGATGGCAATCGATGTTCGTCGGTGATTGGCACTAGATTGCGGAACAGAGACCGACGTTAAATAAAGGAAAGTGATAGCACATATTTTAAATATTTATAGGTTAGATTTTGTGATAAGCAATGCATTAGGTATTGGAAAACGCGTCAAAGGGAGGACGGGGGTTAATTTTTCCTCAATTTAGCGTGACATAATTAAAGTAAGGCCCGTAAACTGTTACATCGACATTATAAATTCAAACTGAAACTATACTCACTGTCTGGTGCAGTTCCGCTCGTCCGACTGGTCATTGCAATCGTCATCGCCATCGCAGACCCACTCCTTCGGTACGCACAGCTCGTTCTGGCACATAAATTTACCATCCCTGCAATCCCGGCGGCTCGTGTTGCAGTGGGTTTCGTCCGTAAAGTCGCCGCAGTCGTCCTCCCCGTCGCAAAGCCAATGTTTGGAAATGCAGATATGCGTCGTGGCACAGATGACGTGCGTTCCACTGGCCTCGCAGCTGTCCGTCAGCTGTTTGACCATTTCCTGCTGCATCTCTTCGCAGTTCTGTTCGTCTTCCGAGAGGATGCAATCGGCCTGTCCGTTGCAGTGCAGATCCATGTGGACGCAGGCACAACTCTTCTCGCATTTGAACTCTTTCGGTTCGCACTTGATGTCGCAGTTGTCCACTCCGGGTGCGTTGTCTCCATTGCCACCGCCTTCGTTCAGTAGGTCATTTTCTGGCACGAAGACCTGGGAGCTTCCCCAGTCATTGAGGTGCGGTCGGTAGTCGTCGGTCCGTTCGCCGCCCGCCAGTCGGTAGACGCCATGGTGGCTGGCTCCGTACCCCGGTAGAACGTAGGGCGTTCGGGACCTAGTGTGGCTTCGCACGTCCTGCGGTAGCTCCGGACCACTGCTGAACGGCGGTGGATGACGAGGCGCCAGTACGATCTTGCCCGGGGGCAGCGGCGTTCGGCCGTTTGGTTTCTGTTTGACGTTTAATTTCGGCTTCGGCCGAACGTCGGTGGATTTCACCTTGCCGGCCGGGTAGAATTGGCGCGATCCGGCAAACTGGTTCGCGCCGGGGTAGTAAATCGGTTGCTGGTACCGTCGATGCTCGTCCAGCGGGTGGGGCGTTGTGTCCTCGTTGCAGACCACTGTGAGAAAAGAGAGAAATTGGCAAATGTTAGTCCGGCATGAGTTTGATTTTATGAGCAAATGCGTTTCAGCTTCTTGCAACTTCTAACAGGCAGAATACCAAGGGTGCAAACTGCGTGTCGAATCATTGGACAAGCTCACTTCTCGGACTGTTAACAACTTCTGTTGGTTACAACTCTTCACAACTCGATATTGAAGAGACCATCGACTTATTAACATGCTTCACACCGGCAAAAATATTGTCAATACTCCAAAGTATTGACAACCATATTGATACAAATATTGACGACGAAAATGTTGATGAACATATATGTCTTTTTAATAGAAACTAAGCGATCGATTCAATCTCTGGTGGTGAATGTGAGAACATCAAAAAGAGTGTGACATTGGAAGCGAAACCCTTTTTCACTTTTCATGATAAATTGATTCATCGGAGATTCTCGAAAACTTGATCTATAGTTGAAAAATTTAATTCTGTATCAAAATCCTTCTTCGGATGTAAAAAAAAAAAACAGTTTGGTTGACGTTTCCTCTCGAACTCGCGTGGTGCCCTCTACGTTGATGGTGCATTAAAAAGGGCTATTGAGGCAAAATCAAAAAAGTTCCTTAGATTGTTTAGAACTTGATACCGATATACAGATAAGGTTTCTCAGAATACCGATTTTTGAGTTTTAATACCGATTTATACCGATTTTTTATAATAATCAAAATCATTACTGCTCGCTTGCGCTGAAACTATCGTGATAGGCTTTTATCTTTTTAAACATTCAAATTTTTGAGCCAGCTCTAAAAAATGTCTTATGCTTTATAGTCTTTCGACTAACGCTTCCATTTTCTCGCCTCTTGCTGATGGCACATCCTGGTAATTCGGGGAAATCGGGAAATAGTTTTATTCAGTGAACAAATAAATCCATCAAAATGTGAATTGGTTAACTTCCTGAAATTTCTCTAATCTTCCCTTCGAAGTTTCGTCCAACTTTCGCTAGGAATTTTTATCCACCTTACTCTTTTTACAATTCCTTCCGGAAATCTATTTCGACTTCCCTTGGAAGCTTCTTCTGGCTTCCCTTGAAAGGTTCTTTCGCCTTCTCCCTTACCTTACCAATTACGCCTTGTTGTCCTCTGCTGTCCGTAGAAGTCGTCTCCACTCTACTCGATCCATGACCACACGTCGCCAGCCTCGTAGTCTGCGAAGGGTCCGCCTACTTAGTCTTATCCCGTCAGTTTTTTCAACTTCCCAGGAACTTCAGGGATGCTTCCAGAGATTTATAGTAGTTCCATTAGCTTCAAGAAAACTGCAGGAACTTTTCAGAAATAGTTCGGACTTTTGGGTAAGTTTAAAGATATGTAAGGGTATGTTCCTATACATTAAAGACAATTTCATTAACTGCTGTTAAAATTCGAGATCCCGGGAATTTCAGGAAAGTCCAGAGAACTCCAACTTAAGGAAACATCTGACATATATTGGAAACTTCACAAATCCAAAGAACTTCATAGAAATGCAATGGTTTAGAGATAACTTTAGGGAAGCTCTGAGAACATCAGGACACATCAATTCATGAAAATTTCTAAACCTTCAAAGAAGTTTCGAGAAACTCAGGGAATTTCCAAAAAACTTCAGAGGCTCATGAAAACTTTGTAATCTTCACAACAGCCCCATTAACTTCTGGAAAATTGCAAGAATTTTTGAAGAGTTCCAAGGAATTAAGTAATATTCCAAAGTGCATTTCAGGAATGTTCTAAAAATTTCAGAGAAATTAGGGAGTCTCAGGGATGTTTCATAAATATCAGGAATATTGCTGGATCATTTGAGCATGTAAGGAACTTCAGGGAATGTTGCTAACATCGCCCAGAAATCTATTTCTTCCAGATTTTTTTCCCAAATTATCCTTAAAGTTACTTGCGACTGTTCCGTAAGCCCTCTGCCTTCCGCCTTTTTCCAGAAGTTTCTTCCAATCTACCTTAGAAAGTTTCTCCCAGCGCCTCAAAAAAGTTTCTTCCATCCTCTGGAAGTTTCTCCATAAGTCATTCTTCGTAGATTTTTTTCCGACTTCTATTGGAAGGTTTTTCCGAGCTTCTTATGACTTCCCCTGCAATTGCCTTCCAATTTCCAAAACTTTTCTGCTTTCCTCTGGGTGTGTTATCTGATTTTTTTCCGAAAATTTCTAAAGTTTTCGCCAGAATTTTCTCCATATTTCGCTTGGAAGATCCTCATCGGATGTTTTTCCGACATTTATTAGAATGTCTTGCAAACTTCCGCAACAAGATCTTCTTTATTCTTTCTCTGGAAGTTTTTTTTCGGTATCATTAAGAGACTAATTCCCAACTTCTACTAGACATAGAATTAAGTGAATTTTGTTACACTGGATTTGTGACAATGGATTTGTGAACAATGGATTTGCGAACAATGGATTATCGGCTCCGTAAAGCTAACGCGATTAAGCCTTCCAAATAAATGAACTGGATAAAAAAAATAAGAGACTAATTCAAATATTCCCGGAAATTTCTTCCGACTTCCGACTTCGTTATTAGCCCAAAAGTTTGAATTTTTGCCTACAAAAAGGCAAAAATATAAAATCAATTAAAATAGTGAATACCGATATATACCGATTTTTCAAACATTTGATACCGATGAGCTTGAAAACAATCTGGCAACGCTGGTACGGACGCAGTTCTGACTCTTCTTCTTCTTCCTGTTTACTCCGTCAAAGTTTTCGTTTTGGTGAAAATCCGAGGAAAATACATAACAAATCGCTGTCAAACTTATTTTGACAGCTTTAATTTCAGACATTTTTTAGGTTAGCCAGAGAAAAATAATAAACAACTTTACACGGCTAAGCACCCACTACCAGCAACAATCAATACGAAACTAACGATTTTAAATTGGCTCACTACTTGACTAGCCTATTGGTCCCACGCAAACGATTAACGTACCCCATTCTAGTCGAAATTCTAGTACCACGCAATGATTGTTTTGATTCGCTATGAAAGTTTGACCGATAAAATGAGGGGTTATTGGTTTTTCCTATGTTTCGAGGGGTGAATCGATTAGCTTGGGACCGAAGATAGTACCAGAGCTGAGCCAAGAAGTTGAGCACGTTATTTCGGGACCTTCTAGTCTTAGAGTTACCTCTATGCTACCAGTATGGGTTAGATTCCACCCAGATCGGTCAAAACTGAACCTACACAAAAATGGGTAAACTATGTTGGGAGTGACAAGTTGAAAAATGGAAAACATCGAACTGAATCCGATAGACTTTGTTAATTTGTGAACTTGTCACTCCCAACATAGTTTACCCGAGTTTGGGTAGGTTCAGTTTTAACCGAACGGAATAACATCCCTAATAAAAATAACCATAAAAGAGAGCTTAACGACGTGTTCGGGGTATCATCCAAACCATTTGTGGGATAGTTTACCCATCCGGGATACAGTTCGTTTATGATATTTGTTTATTAGGGATAGAGGTAACTCTATGACTAGAAGGTCCCGAAGAAACGTGTTCAACTTTTTGGCTCAGCTCTAGTACTCTCTTCGGTCCCAAGCTAATCGATGAACCCCTCGAAACATAGGAAAATCCACGAACCCCTCATTTTATCTGTCAAACTTTCATAGCGAATCAAAACAAACATAGTGTAGTACTAGAAATTCGACTAGAATAGGGTACGTTAATCGATTTGCTTGGGTCCAATAGGCTAGTCAAATAGTGAGCCAATTTAAAATCGTTAGTTTCCACTGGTTGGTAATAAGGTATACAATTATTCCACTAACATGCTCCTCAATTAATTCATACAACATTTAATGTTTTTATGACCACATCGTCGGTAATTTTTGACGTTTTAATGACCATTTAGGCGATCCTAGAATCTAATATGTTCGGTCCATTGTTGATATAACAGTATTCATTGGTGTTCGCAGGCAGCGAAAGTTTTGAGAACCGCTGCTATACTATATAAATCAATCAACCTTGATTATATGCATCGTTGCACAACGCCATCCTACCATGTCCCCACCTGAAAGTGGACGAAGCGGTAAAACTTTTCCATAAATAGTTTCATTCATCCATCTCAAACGAACGTTCGGAACAGCTAATCGATTCCGTAAGAGGTCACACGCAGCAGCAAAGGCGAGATGAAAGCCCAAGCCTTTCCGCACACTAAACGTGGTTCGCCCACGCAAAAGTATCCCCTCAATATTGTGCCATGCGACGTAGTTCGGCAGTCTTCTAAAATAATATCCTTTTGCGCGAAAGCCTATAGTGAAGTGATGAAGTGAAGGTCTCACCCACGGCCTCAACGAAACAATTATCCCACAGTTATATTTTCGCTACGCTCTGCCATTCCAACGACAAACGGCATGAAAAATTCCAAAATCCATCATCCCCAACACCAAGTAGAGTTGAATGAAAGCGAAGACCTCGGCACTGCGCAGCCGTCGTTTTTCGGTGGCACTCCGAGAGAACCAGGCAGCAGGCCATGAACAACAACAATCACACCGGAGAGCAGCGAGCAAAAGCTCCCAGTCAGTTGGAGCACACAGCATCGTGATCTCCCTTGCTAACAGTGCGAATGTGTGAGTGGTTGGAAGTATTTGACAGATCAGAAAGTGAATGAAGCAAAAAAAGTGTATACATTTTAACGACTAATGATTATTCTACGACCGGGGTGAGGTCGACTTCGTATTCCTAACTTAATCACAATTGTAATTACAGTGTTTGTAAATATCCAGGGTGTCAAAAAATCAAGATTTATTCGTCTAATTGGCTGCCTTAAGATGAGAGTTATTATTTGCACAGCAAACATTTCTAGATAGAGCTAGAATTAGGGCGTAACAGCTTTTGTAAGCAATGACTTCTATCGATGATTTCTAGGAACTAAAGGCACGCCCACGCAGACCAACATAACCATCGGATAGGGAAAGTCTTTCCCTACCCGATGAGGACCCAAGTAACCAACAAGCCCACTAATTCGCCTTTTTGCATTATGAGGCTGATACACGGCT